AAGCTATCTCTAACGAAGCGAAACACCGCAGAATCGTGTATTTATACGCGTGCACACACCGCCTGGTAATTTACACCAAGCTGGCCTGTTAATTTCGTTGTCGTGACACATCTCGTAATGAGATGTAGAGCCGACTTGCTTTATGCACGCGTGCTGTTCGTTCCGTGATCATATTATTTAGAGGCGATTGTTCCAAGATTCTGCACGCGATACGGTCATTGTTCATTACCCTACTGTTTTTCCATTCTTTTCTTTCGTTCGACGAATTAATTCGCGATATTAGGCACGCGTGCGCCGAACACATTTATTCATTCCACTTTTTCACAAAGATTTAAGAGAATTTTTGTCTCGTGGTTTCCCTTCCCTATGTTTCTCATTATTCGAACACAGTAATTACACAAATGAAGTTGTCGTCTATGTTAATTTATTTTTTATCGCCTTCTCTGCTTGCCTTTGTGTCATTGATGCTCGTGCTGCTTTAACAACGTTGCGACGTGGAATGTTGCATTACTAATCGTTGATTGTTCCAGTGAGTAGTTGAGTGTTGAAAATTTCTGATATATTATATATTGACCGAGTGTTGAAAAGTTGAGTTGTTCCGTGTTAACTCAATATTCGTATCATTCTTGTTGAGTTACTATCGAGGAATGTAACGTTATTTAAACAGATCTTTTATTACATCGCGAGTTCATTGATAAAATATACAAATAGTAAGTTAATAAGTATAATTTCTCTCGTGGGAAAAATCAGTTGATTCTCTCGATGCATTCCTTAAAAAAATATATTCATTAATGCGGCGACAATTAAAGATGCGTTTAAGAAATTTATTTTTACAATAATAGTTTGAATTCTCTTACAATTTATTAACAGAAATTCGTCGAGTCAGCTGGGTCTTTCTCTGCTTAATAAAATTTAAGCGCGACTAACTTATCGAGACTTAAAATTCCATTCACAAATCCATCATTCCACGTGTAACGACTTAACAGACTCAAAGCTCGAATAATCTAATTAACAAAGGCAAGAAGAGGACTCGAGATCTTAAGCAAAACGGTTGGCGGTAAATTCGTTATGGTGTCGCGGTTTTAAATTAACACAAGATCACCACGAAATTCTAGTTAATTTCTCGTGAGAAGAAGGTCCGCCGCGGAATAATTTCCGAAAATAACTCGGCCTGTCAGACGTTCGCTGTGGTTTTAATTACGGCCGATTAGCATAGCGGCGGAGAGAGTAGTTAGTTATAGAGGGGACAGGAAACGCCGCGGCGTGAAGCCAGCGTGCCGTCGCGACGGAAGTGAGGGAACGAATACGGTGTGGGAAAGCTGCTGTGTGTTACACGTAGAATGAGAAAGAACCCGATGACTAGCACCAGCTTCCAGAGAGTTATTTGATTACGTAGATGCCAGGCAAATGAGAGACATTGTGGCTTCTGGGTGGTGCAAAATACTCGGTGAATTGTGGCCGAGCGGCTGTCATGTTGTCAAGTCGAACGGAAGCTGGTACAGAGTTTCGTGTATTTTCATGTAAATGAATGTGACCAGTCCACTGTACCCAAACAGCTTCGATTTTTTGTTCGAAAATAAAGCCGAGGGAATGTTGCGAGATGAATTAGATAGAAATTTTAATTGTACGATTTTTCACAGAAATATTCAGTTAGTCTGTGTGAAATTAACCCTTTCGTTACTATTGCTGTCTGTAGGCGTTTTGACTATTTGTTCGGGCGGTACTGTTGGGGCCTTTCGGTGCACATGCAGCTTGATTTAATAAGCCGAATTTTAAAACGATACCGTTAAAATAACAAATTTTGCAGCTGTGGTTAAAAATTTTTAATCTGCTGTAACGAAAGGGTTAAAAATCGTGGATGGTGCAAAAATTTCTTCGTTTGTAGTGGAGATAGAAATAACATAATTGATTATACTGGGTTGATGAGAAAAGTCAAAGATTCTTCGGTCTTTAGGAAGAAATTAGAGTTCACAAGTAACTATACTTTTATAGTCAGAGCAATTGTGTTTTGCGAGTTCCAAGGTGGACTTATAATTAGTCTAGCTAAAATAGGAAGGTGAATAGGAGAAAGGATTGTCAGGAATTGGTTTGAAAAATTTACAATGATAATTAAAAAACAAACATTCCTCAGCCCTTAGGAAAAAGTTATGTTGCTTCAGTCGTGTATTTTAGCTTCAAACTTGTGAGTTCAGAGGTGGACTTACAATTACAGCAATTAAAATAATCGATTAGACTGAAGGATCGTCAGAAATTGGTTTGAAAAATTTCATTCTTGTGTGCAAAATTTCGAAACCGAAGAACGCGGTTGGCTAAATCGATTATCGGATTCTGAAGTTGCGCGAGTTGATGGAATTTGATGTTCACTCGAAAAATATTTCAGAAATTCGGAGTTTGTCGATCATTGTCGATTCACTAATATCAAGTTTCTGAAATTTATGGAAATATGGAGTATTCCACTCGTTCATATTCCCAGTACTATTACGTCGTGTCATGTGAAATGTTGGATTGAAATGTCACAGCGCCTAATAGCAATAGTAACTCGACTAGAGTTGCCCAAAATTTAAGTTCACTCCCCAAAAACCTCATAATTTTTCACCCGCTCAACCAATCGCTTAATTGTTAAATTCGTAAATAATTAAACATCACACGGTTATCAACAATAAACTCTCTAAAAATGATCACGTTCTCTTTAATCACCTGTTGTTCGAAATTTAATAAATCCACGCGCTGCCAGTGTCCATTTGATAAAAGTAACAATGGTGAAAAGCTTTTGAAATTCATTCTCAAACCTGTCGAATCATATTTAATTAAAAAAAAAAAAAAAAGAAAATGAGTAAATTGAATATTTTCCTTTAAAACACGATAGCTTTGAGAGCAGTTATGACACTTTTTACGCTGTTTCCTTGATTAAATTGAGATGAGTGTATCGTTCTAATTAGAACGTCGAGAGCTATTTACGCGTTGAAAATACAAAAGAGAAGAAAGATTTAGCTGCTGTGAAAGTGCACACATACATGCACAGTATGATATCGTTGGTTATTTGTTTAAAAGCAAAGGAATATTACACAACGTTCGATAAAATCTGCAATGCACAAGGGTTGAATGAGAATTTTCTGGAGTGGATAGTCGCAGCAACGTTGATAGCATTGTCGGTTAAACGCATTGTTTCGCAGCTCTTGTGTGGTCGAATCGATCAACTGTCTGTTTCGAGTTTCACTCGAACGTGATCGCGTTTTTTACGCGCGCAACCGATTCCCA